TTACAAGGATGTCAATTTTCGGTTCCAACATCGCAAATAGACTCAGTGAACGAGGTGTGATATCTGCAGGTGTTTGCACTCGCCAAGACAACGCTGTCTTTGGGAATAAAGCTACTGGTCCGTACCTGAAAAGAAATAAGTTTTACGAAGAAACTGGTCCAAAATTGTTTTGATAGCAAACTGTAGGTCAATCTAAGACGAGCCTATAAAGAGAAGAGCAGTTCAGCATGACATGAGCGCTCTGTGCGATAAAAATGATTTTAAACTATTAAAAGGTCAGATTATGAGATAAAATCAGACGTATTTACTAGGCTCTGGATGCAGTAACAAAAGAACACAAATAAATTAGAATTTGCTTCAGTATGTCGTTTGTAAGTAGGAGGTAAGACAATTGTTTCGTAAATCGAGAACGCACAGAAAAGTGCCGTCGAGCAGTCGAAATCCGTAACATGACAGTCCGCGCACACCGACTTGTTTTGCTTCTGTCATCTCTGTTGAAAGAAAGCTCACTCTACTGCGTTGCGGTACATCTGAATCCCCGAGAGGAGTAACATGAAAGCCATCAAGCACACCTAAACATATTTTTGAGTTTTACATATATCAAATACTACCAGAATTGAATGTTAAATTTTACCAGTGTCGCCTCGCCGGGAATCCGCTCCATCCGAAGCAAGTCTTCGTGATTGAAGCAGCCGCAGCAGCGGCCGAATTCGAGTAATGCTCATACTCTAGGGATACCACTTAGAGTGCATGATACATGGAGTGCACAAAGTATCAAATCATTCAAAAACTTTAGGACGAAACACAAAGGGACAGTCACCTCACCATTCATCACAAGAAAATGCTGAAGCTCTTACAAATCACGACTTGTTGCACAAGAATCTCATGAAAAGAGCTCTTTTCATCTTAGTCGATAAGGAAATTAAAAAAAAGAAAGTTTGCAAATTGTTCAAATACACAAACAGAAGAGAAGCTTTTCCTTTACCCTCTCTGCCATATGTGTTGCCCTTCAACTACTAAGTCAAGCGTCAACGCCTTCAATTCGAAGGCTTTGAATGATTTGAACGGAAATTTGTGGGGAACATACATCTCTCATTCTCGTCATTCCTAACT